TGATTATGATTATAATGATGATGACAGTAATGAAAATAAAGATGATGATGGTGGTAATGCTGGTGAAGATGTTAAAGATGATGATGACAATGATGATGTTGACAATGATGACGACGACAATAGTGATGGTGATAATGACGATAATGACAATGACGATGACGATAATGACAGTGATGATAATGATAATGATGGTGATGATGATGATGATAATGACGATAATGATGATGATGACAGTGAAGAAGACACTAATGATAATAAAGATGATGATGATGATGGTAATGTTGATGAAGATGTTAAAGATGATGTTGACGGTGATGATATTGATAATAATGATTATGGTGATGATAAAGATGATGATGATGATGGTGATGATGAAGATAATGACGATGATGACAGTGACATTGATGTTGACAGTGATGATGATGATGATGATGATGATGATGATGGTGATGATGAAGATAATGACGATGATGATGATGATGACAATGACAGTTATGTTAATGTTGACAGTGATGATAATGATAATGATGATGATGATGATGAAATTGACGATGACGATGGTGATGATGATGGTGATGATAAAGATGATGATGATGAAGATAATGACGATGATGATATTGACGATGACGATGACGATGGTGATGATGAAGATAATGACGATGATGATGATGATGATGATGACAGTGACATTGATAATGACAGTGATGATAAAGATGACGATGATGATGGTGATGATGATGACGATGATGATGATGATGAAGATAATGACGATGACGATGATGATGACAGTGACACTGATGTTGACAGTGATGATAATGATGATAATGATGATAATAATGATGATGAAGATAATGACGATGACGATGATGACAGTGACACTGATGTTGACAGTGATGATAAAGATGATGAAGATAATGACGATGATGATGATGATGACAGTGACAGTGATGTTGACAGTGATGATAAAGATGAGGATGATGATGATGATGGTGATGATGATGATGAAGATGATGAAGATAATGACGATGATGATGACAGTGACACTGATGTTGACAGTGATGATAAAGATGATGAAGATAATGACGATGATGATGACAGTGACACTGATGTTGACAGTGATGATAAAGATGACAATGATGTTGACGGCGACAGGGTGAGGACCTCCTCGGTCCCTGGAGTAAACAGGAAAGGCTGTGGAGGTATCAGTGAGGACAGAACTTTTGTTTGGACCTACTTGAGTTTGGGTTTGGGCGTGCTCAGTACGCTCTCGTTGTCCTCCATTTCTGGCCCGCTGTCGCTCTGGTTGTAGACCTCCAGACTGTCATAGAGTAAGTCCAGATCCTCCTCCACCTCTTGTGTCTGATCCACAGGGTCAGAGTCCAGGACCTGTGGAGCAGGATGGTTATCGTTATCAGGAGTTTATAATCAGAGATTAGTGATCATGTCCATGGATTAGTCGAGGGGGGGGTGTTAGTGAACAGTAGATACTGAGTGTCAGAGCTGGACTAATGGAGCTCAGAGAGCCGCCGCCATGAACACTGAGGGCTATAAAAGCAGGAGGTCTGAGCTATAAATACTCGTATAAATACAGGCCTGAGCCCAGGTCCTGAACACGCCAATTAGAAGGTAAGTGAGTGCCGAGGAGAGCCCAGGTCCTGAGCCCTGATCTGCTGCACAGCAGGGATCTATATCATAGAAGCTGCACACAGGCAGCCTGCAGGCTAATCAGGTGATTAATGCTACTCTATAAGTGCAGAAGCTGGCAGGGAGCAGATCGACACAGTCTGTCCTCCTCCTCCTCCTTCTTCTGGATCTGTATTTATAAAGCTGTGGCCCTGCACACCGCCCCGCCTCCAGGAAGGACGGATTAGAGACCAGGAACGTGATAAAAGATCAACGGGACACCTGAGACACGTCTAGAAACATCCAGAAAACCTCAGAGAGAACGATTCACTCTTCTCCGTCTCTCTCTCTTTGGTCTGATTTAAAACACGAGTCTGAAACTTGAACAAAACCTGAACCGTTCAAAACTCCTGAGATCTCAGAGCGGTCTGACGTCAGACCACGGAGAAGAGAGGATCTTCTGATGTTCATGGTGGAGTGGAGTGGTGATCATTATCATCACAAAGACCTCAAGGATTATCTGCTAATGGAAATCCTCTGTAGGGTTAGTCCACTTCCGGCTCAAGAGCCGTTAGCGAGGATCTACAGAAACATGAAGACTATAATGGGACGAGCATACGAGCGCACATTTATGATTCAATTAGGAGGCAGAGAAAGGAGGTTAATGCACTCTGCATACAAATCCCTGCTGATGGTGACGTGTGAGTCACACACCGTGATGATGATGATGAAGATGATGATGATGGTGATGATGGTGCTTGAACCTGTTTCCCAGCAGCAGCAGCTGTTCAGACCGATCCTCACTCCAAGATCGGACACATTTATCAGCTGATGGTTGAGATCGACCAATCAACACGAACATGAACAATCAGCTGACACTCACCTCGTCCGTCACCTTGAACCTCTTCAGTAACGCCACAAACTTCTGCTTAAAGTTGGGTTGCTGAAACAGAGAAGAGGACCTTCAGACACATGAAGAGAACGGTGTGTTCTCAAAAACAGGAAACCAAGATTCATGAGAGCTGACCGGAGCCGCTCCGTGTAAAGACCATCAGAGTGGGTCCGGTGAGCCCACCGTGTTCATCCACGCCGCACTGACGCCGAGAGCTGCAGGAGCTCCGACAGCAGCAGCAAACTCACCCTGGTCATGGAGGTGGTCCGGATCATCTTCCTTCGAGGTTTCTTGGGCTTCCTCACCTCGTCATCTTCATCATACAGATCCTGAAATAAGGAGAGGACGAGGATGACGGATCTGAGGACAGCTTTAAGATCATGACTGAGTTTTTGATTTTCTGATTGTTTAGTTTCCTGTTTCTCAGTAACTTGGTTTGAAATCTTCTAATAAACTTTTCAACCTTCAACCTCAGAAGGATTTCACTTGATTTCTTTTTGGACTGAGGGGATGTTGTCGTAGATCAGGTGGTATTGGTTCTGAGGACTCTCTGATGGTTGTCTGTCCTGAGTCTGGTTCTGCTGGAGTTTTTCCTGCTCATGACTGAAGACTATCGGGTCTGGACCTTCTGAAGAACTCTGATCTGATCTAACCTTTGACCTTCACTGACCTGTCCGTGAACGGCGTCATCACTGGCCTCCTGCTCTGATGAGTAGCTGTCGTCGTCCTCCTCAGAGTAGTTGTCCATGTCTGGAGAGCGATCTGAGGTCAACAGAGAGGAAGAAGAAGAGACAACATGTTCAGGATTCAGTCAGTCCTGTCCCAGATCAGACAGAAATCCTCAGACTGAGACCAGCAGGTTCACGTGGTTTTTGGACAAAGGAGAGACTCTGTCCTCTGGGACCACGTTTGGACTCAGAAAAGAGAATTAGAAGAGGTTTAATTTCTAAACGTTCAGATGTGCTGAGGAGCTGAAGACGAAAAACAGAAGAAAGGAAGTTCAAAAAGAGGCGAGCAGATTTCCACGTTCACGGCGTCTCCACAGAAGAGCTGCTGCAGGAAACTCATTAACCAGAGGAGGAACTCTGGAGGGGTGAAACCGGTCCTACAGAGTCCAACAGAGTCCAACAGAGTCCTACAGAGTCCAACAGAGTCCTACAGAGTCCTACACAGCTCCATGTTAACCCTGCTGCTCCATACTGAGCTCCTACATTGTTGTCCTGTCTCTGAGCTCAGTGTTGACATTTCTCATGTCCCTCATGTCTCACATGTCTCCCATGTCCTTCATGTCTCTCATGTCCCTAAAGTCCCTCATGTCTCTCATGTCTTTCATGTCCCTCAAGTCCCTCACGTCCCTCATGTCTCTCATGATCTTTAAGTCCCTCATGTCTCTCATGTCTTTCATGTCCCTCAAGTCCCTCACGTCCCTCATGTCTCTCATGTCTCTCAAGTCCCTCATGTCTAATGTCTTTCATGTCTCTCAAGTCCCTCAGGTCTCACATGTCCCTCATGTCTCACATGTCCCTCATGTCTGTCATGTCTCACATGTCCCTCACGTCTCTCATGTCTTTCATGTCTCTCATGTCTCTCATGTCCCTCACGTCTCTCATGTCCCTCATGTCTCTCATGTCTCACATGTCCCTCATGTCTCTCATGTCTCTCATGTCTCTCATGTCCCTCACGTCCCTCATGTCTCTCATGTCCCTCATGTCTCTCATGTTCTTTAAGTCCCTCATGTCTCTCATGTCCCTCATGTCTCACATGTCCCTCATGTCTCTCATGTCTCTCATGTCTCTCATGTTCTTTAAGTCCCTCATGTCTCTCATGTCCCTCATGTCTCTCATGTCTCTCATGTCTCTCATGTCTCTCATGTCCCTCATGTCTCTCATGTCCCTCAAGTCCCTCATGTCTCTCATGTTCTTTAAGTCCCTCATGTTCTTTAAGTCTCTCATGTCCCTCATGTCTCTCATGTCTCTCATGTCTTTCATGTCCCTCATGTCCCTCACGTCTCTCATGTCCCTCATGTCCCTCACGTCTCTCATGTCCCTCATGTCCCTCATGTCTCTCATGTCCCTAATGTCTCTCAAGTCCCTCAAGTCCCTCATGTCTCTCATGTCCCTCATGTCTCTCATGTCTTTCATGTCCCTCATGTCTCTCATGTCTCTAATGTCTCTCATGTCCCTCACGTCTCTCACGTCTCAGTTGGAGTCCAGAGGAAAACTCCCGTCCTGTGTTGATGAAGCTGACTGAGTCCTCTGTCCACTTTCACTCCCTTCAGACTTAATGACTTGTTCTGGAATAATGAATAAAATGGACAGAGACGTTTCCAGCTCACATGAGGACGTCTCTGAACTGTACTGAAACTCTGGTTTGATGTAAATGTCCTCGTCTCATGTCCTGATGAAGTTTTAATCTGCAGCTTCAACATTTTGTTTTAGTTCTCTAAGTTTACTGCAGATTTTCTTCAGAGACAGATTTCTACAGTCGTCCTGAGTGAGGACAGATCAGCTGTTGGAGGAGCGCTGGGACTTCCTGTCCTGGGCCGGGGTGGATGTTATTCAGGCTCGGAGCAGAGAGGAGGAATATAAACACCGTTCCTTCTCTGGGAGTGACACCGCTTTAATACTCGGGCCATGAGCTCATCTGTTGTGTTTGAGCCCAGTCCTTAATAACATCCAGAACAGCCAGAAATCAGCAGAGCGGGATAGAGGCCCACTACCCCCCAGACCAGAATTAGAGCGGTGTCAGGTAACAGACCCTAAATCTGTCCGGCCCACAGACCAACAGGAGGGGGTAACATTTCTCTGACTGCAGGTGGGTTCGCTGTCGTCTCAGTGACCATCTGCTGTCATAGTCTGATGATGATGATGATGAAGATAATAAACAACACTGAACTTTAGAGGAATTTCAGAGTAACCAGCAGTTAGCTAACCCAGAGTGACCTTTACGACTGCAGAGAGAACGGAGTGTTTGGAGCAGGAGGAGGTCAGAGAGGAGGACAGAGAGGAGGTCAGAGAGGAGGTCAGAGAGGAGGTCAGAGAGGAGGTCAGAGAGGAGGACAGAGAGGAGGTCAGAGAGGAGGACAGAGAGGAGGACAGAGAGGAGGTCAGAGAGGAGGACAGAGAGGAGGACAGAGAGGAGGTCAGAGAGGAGGTCAGAGAGGAGGACATTCACTCTGTTTGTGAGGAGAACCAGCATCTCCCTGTTCATCCTCAGTGGAGCGTCTGCTGAACTGAGTCTCAGCTTCTCTGTAAAGAGTCTCTCTCCACTCTGGTTTCCTGTTGTCTGTATAGAGTCTCAGTTTCTCTGTAAACAGTCTCTCTTCGCTCTGATTTCCTGTCTGTATAAAGTCTCAGTTTCCCTGTAAACAGTCTCTCTTCGCTCTGGTTTCCTGTTGTCTGTATAAAGTCTCAGTTTCCCTGTAAACAGTCTCCCTTAGCTCTGATTTTCTGTCTCTATAAAGTCTCAGTTTCCCTGTAAACAGTCTCTCTTCACTCTGGTTTCCTGTTGTCTGTATAGAGTCTCAGTTTCCCTGTAAACAGTCTCTCTTCACTCTGATTTCCTGTTGTCTGTATAAAGTCTCAGTTTCCCTGTTATCAGTCTCTTTTCACTCTGATTTTCTGTCTGTATAGAGTCTCAGTTTCTCTGTAAACAGTCTCTCTTAGCTCTGGTTTCCTGTTGTCTGTATAGAGTCTGAGTTTCCCTGTTAACAGTCTCTCTTAGCTCTGATTGTCTGTCTGTATAAAGTCTCAGTTTCCCTGTAAAGAGTCTCTCTTCACTCTGATTTCCTGTTGTCTGTATAGAGTCTCAGTTTCCCTGTAAACAGTCTCTCTTCACTCTGGTTTCCTGTTGTCTGTATAGAGTCTCAGTTTCTCTGTTAACAGTCTCTCTTAGCTCTGATTGTCTGTCTGTATAAAGTCTCAGTTTCCCTGTAAAGAGTCTCTCTTCACTCTGATTTCCTGTTGTTTATATAGAGTCTCAGTTTCCCTGTAAAGAGTCTCTCTTTACTCTGGTTTCCTGTTGTCTGTATAGAGTCTCAGTTTCCCAGTAAAGAGTCTCTCTTAGCTCTGGTTTCCTGTTGTTTATATAGAGTCTCAGTTTCCCTGTAAAGAGTCTCTCTTAGCTCTGGTTTCCTGTTGTTTATATAGAGTCTCAGTTTCTCTGTAAAGAGTCTCTCTTCACTCTGGTTTCCTGTTGTCTGTATCAAGTCTCAGTTTCTCTGTAATCACACTCTGGATCAGACCGAAAGGGTCCTGGTTTGAAGTCCGGCTGTTCCCACCTGAGGTTTTGGTCTTGCGTCCGGCCTGCCCGCTGCCGTCCTCATGGTCGATGGGCTGGCTGGATAGAGAGTACACGCTGATCTCCGCCACACGCACCGGTGCCTCCTTCACGTTGCTATGGAGACCCAGGATCTGTCCTCCATCTGTCGGGTGTTGCATCACCTGGACACAGGAAGAGAAAGACGGAGAGCGGTCACTGATTCACCGTATCGTCCACAGAGACAGAGAGAGAGAGAGAGAGAGAGAGAGAGAGAGAGAGAGAGAGAGAGAGAGAGAGAGAGAGAGAGAGAGAGAGAGAGAGAGAGAGAGAGAGAGAGAGAGAGAGAGAGAGAGAGAGCGTTCTGATTCTTCTGAGAAATAAGCAGGTTTGGAAGGATTCAGGATCTACTGATGCAGGAAGAAACATTTTAACACAAACAGACTGTGGAAAAGAGATGATATTCTGAGGAGATATGTAGTTAACTTACAGGGTATGTTTCAGTGTGTTTGTGTGGGATAAACACTCACAGGCCACTTTATTAGGGACATGTATCATTTTCAGTGTCCAATATACACCATGTCTCCAGAAACATACATATTTTTATATTTATTATTTATAATAAATTTTTAGAGAAAATGATCATCTCCACTGGATCAGTGGTTTTGTTCCCGTATTAATACTAGTTCTGTTTCAGGTATTATTCCTAGTTTTACTCCTGGTTTTGC